GATTGACTGGGCCCTGGTTGACTCTTGCCTGATTGACTGGGCCCTGGTTGACTCTTGCCTGATTGACTGGGCCCTGGTAGACCCATGACATTTTGCCTCGGATCTGGTTGACTCATGACTCTTTGCCTCGGTTCTGGTTGACTCATGCCTGGTTTGTTCATGCCCAGTTGTTTTCTGTCAGGTTGGCTTATGTTTGATTGGTTCATGTCCTGTTGATTAATACCAAATAAGTTCACACCTGTCTGGCCTATGCTTGGTTAGTCCATGTATGGTAAGCTTGATTGGTGCATCCCAGTTGATTCCTTCCTGATTGGCCAAGGTCTGGTTGATGAAGATTGGGTGTCTGAGGACTGGTTGGCAAATGACTACATATCTTGATGGAACAGGAGACCTTAATTACAGTGCTGTGGTGGGAGGCTGTGGAATATTTCTCATTGATTTGTACTTCAAAATATTCCTTTATAAAGACGAGAATAGGTGAAATAAAGGAGGACAACCTAGTGATTACTGATGACTCTGATTTGCTGAAGTTGATCTCAACAGTGATTATAACCGTAGGCTTGGCTGGGTTTCAGGTTGTCATCTTCCCTTTCCCTGTCAACAGGCTGGAAGTGAGGGGAGGAAGATATTGACCCTGAGGAAATGTTATTGCCCCACCCCCTTGCAGGGTCATTATGTCATAGTGTTGAAGTCACAATGCACCAACATTCTTCCCAATATGGTGAGGGAGGGGGCAAGGCAAGTCCCACTTGACCACCACTTTGTATCCTTTTCACCAAGAGCTTAAAAGAGTAAAGAAATTCTCTCCCTGGTGGCACAATGGATAAAGTGCCCCACTGCAAGTGAGCCTCTGCCACTTCAGTGCAAGTGTTATCCCCAACCCCAAGGTGATCCGCATGGTGAGGCAGACTTCTCCTGACCTGCCCGCTGCTCCCCTCAGCAGTGCACTTTGTCGATCTGCCCATTCTGCTCCCAATTCTGTCTCTGGTGAATCTTCTCACCACCCTTGGATCTCTGGCCAGTTCTGTATGCATGCATGGATAAATCCTTAAAAATAAAAGAGCAAAAAGAAAAAAAGAGAGAGAGAGTATAATGAAAAATATGTGTGTCTCAGTTCTGTATGCATGCATGGATAAATCCTTAAAAATAAAAGAGCAAAAAAAAAAAAGAGAGAGAGAGAGAGAGAGAGAGAGTATAATGAAAAATATGTGTGCCTCAGAGCTTAGGTTTAGCAGCAAAAGAGAGAGAGAGAGAATAATGAAAAATATGTGTGTCTCAGAGCTTAGGTTTTGCAGCAAAGAGTGCTTGCTATTTTAGCCAACCAGTTCAAAGATACTCCATTTAACCTTTTCCCCTTTCACCATGGCCCAGTTCTGAAATTTTGATTACCTATTTCTGGCCTTATTTCCATTTATCTCCTCTTTTCCATTAGCATAGAAAGTAGGATGCTTAAACAGATTGTCATAATGAGGTGCTCAAGTCCTAAATATATTCAGGTGCAGAATATATTTCTTTATAAATAATAGCTGTGATTATCATTTATGAAGATCTTTTATGATTTTCCTCAGTGGGAAGCAACTTACATTTTTCTCTTTTAATTCCATAACATCCACATTATACCTAACTCTGAGAGGATTGACTCAAAAGATTTGGTAACTTAGTCAAGATCTCATAACGAGTGGTGAAGAGCCATACCCAAGTCTACCCTATGGCATTCACAGACTTTTACCATTATACTATCCTTCTTCTTACATTCTCTATAGTTATCCTCCACCCTCATATCTGTGAGATCAAGTATATTGTGCTTTAACCCCTTCCTCTCTAATAAAATCCCCTTTCCCAACATTTGTATCTATTGGCTCTTTTTTTTTTAAAACAATATATATTATATAACTGGTGCTGTTATTATAGATGGAATGTCTTATATATATATGTATATATATATATTTTAATTTTATAGTAGTTTATTTTTACATATTTTTCTGCATTTTTCCATCTCAGTTGTAGTCCCCTTGGGTTTCCCATCACCAAATTCTCTTTTATATTTTAAATACATAAGAGAACATCAGTTGAAGCTGTTCTAAGTCTCACACTGTGATGAGGACTTTACATATGCATTAACTCAATCATCAAAGCAAACCTGTGAAATAGGTACTGTTGTTCCCCATTTTAAAAAATCAATAAAGTGGAACTTAGAAATATTAACTAATTTTCCAAGTCTAATACATGCCAGGATGGGGACAAAGTCCAAAGCCCACCACATAGACAGAAGCATTCAAATAAAACTATACAACACAAATACCATTTGGTATATATTGGCTACAAATGGAATCTAGAGCACCAGATTCTTAGCATAACAGGTAAATCAAATGATATCACAGAACCATGGCATGTCTAACACAAATTAAGTGTAGGCACATTTACGATCTTGACCCATTGTAATAGCAGTGAGAACTAAAAATTTTGAATATACCCTGCAATGTCAAGCACTGTTCTAAGGTACAATTTACCTCTATATCATTTAGTCCTCACAACAACCCAATGAGGTAGTTGATATTATGATGCCCATTTTTCAGATAAAGAAACTGAGTTTCAGAAGTTAGGTACCTGGATTTAGGTCACACAACTAAAAGTCCAGACAAAATAAGGAAAATTCAAGCATCATTTTTTTTTAATTCCAGGAAAAGGATGAAGAAATTTTTTTATTTGCTTTAAAAGTCATAGCATTTGAGCACCCAATGCAACAACAGTGAAGGCAAGGATAAATAGACTGGACTACATCAAGTTAAAGAGCTCCTGTACAGCAAAAGAGACATTACGAAAAGAAACAGACACCCCACTGATTGGAAAAAATTTTTCTCACACAAAACTAGCGATAAAGGATTGATCACAAAGATACACATAGAACTGATGAAACTCAACAAAAATAAACAACCCCATCAAAAAATGGGCAGAAGAGCTAAAAAGACACTTCTCCAAAGAGGAAATGCAGATGGCCAACAAGCATATGAAAAAATATTCAACATCACTTGTAATAAGGGAGATGCAAATTAAAACCACAATGAGATGGCCCTCCCTGGTGGCCCAACAGGTTAAAGCACTGCAGTAAGAAGCTTAAGTCACTTCTGCATGAGTTGGATCCCCCCCTGCCCTGGAGGAGATTCACATGGGGAGGCAGACCTCTCCTGGCCCACCTGCTGCTCCCCTCAGCAGTGTACTTCCTCAATCTGCCTGTTCTGCTCCCCGCTCTGTCCCTGGTGAATCCTCTCACCTTCCACACCTCTGGCCTGTGCCCCAGTTCTGTATGAATAAATAAATAAATAAATAAATATTTTTTAAAAAAAACACAATGAGATACCACCTCACCCCAGTGAGAATGGCACATCTTCAAACAACTAGCAACAACAAATGTTGGCGAGGATGTAGAGAAAAGGAACTCTCCTACACTGCTGGTGGGAATGCAAACGAGTACAACCACTATGGAAAACTGTTTGGAGGTTCCTCAAACTGCTAAACATGGAGCTTCCCTACGACCCAGCATCCCACTCCTAGGTATCTATCCAAAAGACACAAAAATACTGATCCAAAAAGATACCTGCACCCCCATGTTTATTGCTGCTTTATTTACAATTGGAAAGACATGGAAGCAGCCCAAATGCCCAAAAGTAGATGACTGGATTAAAAAGATGTGGTACATATGCACAATGGAATATTACTCAGCAACCAAAATAATAAACACATGCCTTTTGCAGCAACATGGATGGAGCTGGAAAAGATTGTGCTTAGAGAAATAAGCCAAAAAGAAAAGGAAAAATACCTGATGGTTTCACTAATAGCAGGAATATAACGGACCAGACAAGAAAATAACAAGAATAATGAGCAGCTGTATACCAGAGACATTTTATGGGGATGGAGTGGGGAATGGGATCAAAAACAGTGGGGGGAAGGAAATACACTGGACTATGGTGATGGCACATGGATGATTTGGTGATGGGAAGCCCACGGGGATTACAAATGAGATGAAAAAAATTCACTAAATGATGTAAAAACAAACTATTATATTATTTAAAATAAATCATACCATTTGCGGCCCTCCTTGGGTTAAAGCACAGCACTAAGAAGCTAAACCACTTCAGTATGAGTTTGATCCCCACCCCGGTGACCCACACAGTGTGGCAGACCTCTCCTGACCAGTCTGCTTCTCCCCTCAGCAGTGTACTTCATCAGTCAGCCTGTTCTGCTCCTTAATCTGTCTCTGCTGAATTCTCTCACTGCCCCCGTACCTCTGGCCTGTACCCCAGTTCCTTGTGCATAAATAAATGCATCTTTAAAAAAATCATACTGTTTGCATAGTTTACTGGGGAAATGAATGACATTTTTTAATGAAAAGAGTGAAGCACAAACTAGGTTTCTAGCTGATGCCCTAAATGGGTAAAATGAAACAACATAATTTATATATCTGCAACTGTTAAAGAGCTTCTTTTGTATTTTGATTCTGAATCTTTATATTGATTGAATACCATTTGAGGGTTAATTTTTTTTCTTTCTTTTAAAAGAACATTCTGCAGTTGGCACATTATACAATTATGACTTGTCATTAAAAAATGAAACAGGACAAATCCAAGGGACAGAGTTGACAGTGGCTCTTTGCTCAGGCTCTTAAGAATACGGGACGTGGTTCCAAACCAGACAAGTTAGAAACAACAGAATTCATTTACCCAGAATGTGAAAAATGGAGACCTAAGAGAGAATAGAGGCTGGCAAATGGCCAGATGCCGTCTTCCCTA